CCAGTCACGTGACCAAAATAGAAAAATCTCTAAAACTTAAAAGGGATCTAATTCCGAAACTTTAAATCAGTGTCAATAGATTAAGGACGTCCACGTGCTTAATACTAGTATGGGTTTTAAGAAACTCGTATTATCACAAAAGTTGTGAGGTTATAAACACTGGTATTAACAGACTTTCTACAGTAGCGTTCCTTTTTTACGTGTAAACAGCAATTCCATGCGTACGTATAAAGTAAGTTAAGTTTGTGCGGTTTGGAACTGACACTAGTTGCGCATGCAACTAGTGTCAGTTGCTGACAGTTAGTGGCAGCTAGTGTCAGTTACTGACACTAGTTGCGCATTTCAAAGCAACCTTTCCCTGGTGTAAAATTCATCATTTAGCACTGCGGAATGCTCCAAAATAGCCTTCATCTTAATATCGCCCTCTGCAATCCCTCAGTAACTGCTCTAACTCTGTAGTTAAGAAGGATCCGCATTCGGAAATGACAACCTCATTCCCAGGCTCTCTCCTTTGCTTCCCTTAAGGCAGAGGAGGGAGAGCCTGAGAACGAGGTTGAGGAAATGGGAGGTTGTCACTTAATAGAATATAGGGGTGCGTGGGAATTAGCACGAGGCTCAATAGAAACGTCAATTTCTCCACTTACCAGCATGCCTTCAAAAGGCAACATCACGTGAAGACAATAAGCAACGTGTGTTTGAACGTTCTTATCAGTGATCACCTTCTATTTCGGACTCTAGCTTATCTGTCATAGGCTTTTCCAAAGCAAAGCCAGCTTTTAAAATAGGGGAAAGGACGAAAGAAAACTCTCGTCGGGATGAAAAGGTGGCTGCGCCACTTAACAGAGGTGGACAAGTAAGCGACACTCCATTAATGGCGGAACGGAGCCCCATACCCCAGAAAATCTGGTAATCCAGCGATCTAAAAATTATGATTTTCATGTGACTGTCCGTACGAACGCCCGTGGCCACTTGCACTGCGCGTAGGCCAGCTCAGCCCCATACTCAGAGAGTAGCACCATTGCCATAGGTACATCTTTGATATTAGACATCCATGTTATGGTTTATTGACAGCTGTCAAAATAAGGTATCCACTGACCCAGTATCACGTGACCCTATCGCGGGCTCTGGTGTAGAGCTTATCAAGGTCGCATATTTCTTTAAAGTTGACGGCTGCCCAGGTATTGGTTTTCGATTGAATCGCAAGCTCCAGCTAAGTTATTACTCTAGGGAAGAAGGACAGGGTACGGGCAAAGACAAAATTTCGGCGAAAATTAACCCCTAGTGCGTTGCTGACTTTTGTTCCATGGTATTCCTTGCACAATCGTCTCTTGGAATATTGCGTATGCTATTTTCTACATTCTTGGGAAAATTGGGTACGCTTATTGGGTATAGTTTGTTAAGGTAACTAGAAAGGGTGGCAAAACCACACGCTCGACAATTAACATGCTCACAATTGATCGTTTTTTGACTTTCTCTCCCTTTTCCTTTATGGTTAGCTTATTGTTATCAGAAGCTCCGCTTTTAGGCTTGGCTAAATCTATATATTATTCCACTAAAGGCCAAACTGTAATGCAAGGACCACTTGTACAAACAGCAGCGGAATGAAGCCGGATCTTGGTTTACATCAGGATCAGCAGTTTAATAAAATAACGTAAGAACAAATTGTGGAATATGAATCTATCTACTCTGTTACACTTAGGAAAGGCAAATGTTAGGTTTCACGACCTTTGCCCGCCAACAAAATGACTAACCATAATAAACTTTTTTCTCTTCAATCAGAACATCTTTCGGGCAAGAAGCGAAAAGCGTCTGCACACAGGAGCCACGCAATGTTTTTTGGGCTTAAAGCTTTCCACTTGTCTTTTTGTCCTGTTTTTGCTTAGCGACTCTTGAGGGGAAATATCTTTTCGTTACTGTTTACAATAAACACCACGTGGGCAAATTCACTTACAAGCCTTTGAAATTAGGTATTCGTTTCAAAGAGAATACTGAATAGAACGAGTTTGAATTTTCCATTTCGGACTCAGAGCAAGTTTTACCTGGTTAGCTTGGATGTATTCTTACAGAACATGTTTGATGTATTCTCGAATTTACATAAATTTAAAGATTACAGGCTTTTGATATTTGTTGCAATATACTTTCCTATATTTATGTTTTTATTTTTGTATATATCCTATTATTGCGTATTCTATGTTAGGTAGCTCTAGGTAATAACTTCAGGGCTCCTATTGATAGCGGAGATGCTTTGTAAGCTCCCTGAAAAGACTACCCTGAAAATTTACCTGTAGATTTTTACTTTTAAATAAAAGTGTCTATTTATCTATCTATATATATATTTAGAACTGCCGAAGTATTTCCCAGGTAGATTATGGGAAAATGGCGAAAGTGATAAAGGTCTATCAACGTTTTTCTAGTTTATTATTTTTTTTTTGCTCTGAGGATCGACGGTGTGATTAACATCTAACCGATGTGTTTATAGCATGCTGAGAATCGTATGAAGTACGAAGCTGTTCGCGGCTGATAAGAAAACATCCGGACACTGCCCCGTAATTGCAAAGTACAAGTGATTTACAGAGGCTTCCTGTTCAGGATTTTCAAGCCGCTTGGTCAACCAATGAACTAGAGTATGACATGGAATAATATTCTACGCCTTCAAAAAGCTACAGAGGTAAAGCCTCTAAAATAATACACAGAAGGCAAGTAACATGCTCTATTAGGTCCTGTTGATCAAACAAAAATTGTGACTTACTGGCACTACTACTTTAGAAAGAATTGGAACATAAATAATTATATTATGAGCTCAGCAGAGGCCAAAACCAGAAAGTTTTAATTATCGAATTCGAATATGGAGATTAGTTTCATAATTAAGAAAAGGATTGCTAACGTATATAAACCACTGCAATGTGCCTTGACAGGCTGATTATCTTAAGTTGAGACTAGGGCTGATAATTATAACGGTTTGTTGTGAGATAAAAAATGTTTGATGTACCTATGTAGTTAATAATTACTGTTGAGTCGATCGAAGAGAATAGTGGCGACATGACAGAAGGAGAAAAGGCATTTTCCATGGAGTGGCTTTTCAATTTGCTCTCTTGTACATAAAATACAAGACCCCAAGCGGTTACGAAAATTAGAAAAGGGTCCACGAAATAATTACAAGCGATGAGAAAAGAATTGTCGAAAAAACGGCTGCAGACCGTTCGATTCCGTTAATTCAATTAAAAAGCATTATTGAAATAAAATATTACTTAGACGGTTTCCCCCGCGACGGAACTGACTTCCCATGAAAATATAAAATTGATGGGGTCTGCAGAATAACAACAAAATAATTGTAAGTTACTCAGTCGTTGTCCAACCGATCTGCAAAGTTTCTTTAAGCCATTATGATGTACAACACAAAGCAGTTTTAAGTTAACGTTTATTATACGTTTTCGGTCCACTGAACCTCTCGACAGACTATACAGAAGTATCATCGCCGGGCTAATACACTGCTCAAAAGACATTTATCTCAGGAGATTCTTAAGTCCTTCGCGATAATTGCTACTGAAAATAAAACAGATGCAAGGATTTATGGCACAATTTGCGCTAACCATTAAAACAACAAACGAGTTAAAATACCGCAAGTCACAGGACATCAAGACATCCGATGCAAAGAAGACGAGTAAACACATGATAACGAAGGGCAACCAGCAAATTGCAAACCCCAACACAATAGCAATGGCCATTTTTAACACATTTCGTTTCCTTTGCCGACGTTGCCCAGCTTCAGTGTTGGCCGATTGCTCGCCTGGAATCTTCCGCGACTTGAGCTTTAAAAAGATGATAATGTATAGTATGGCTATCAACACTAACGGGATAAAAATGAATACGACCGAAAATGACACGAAGTAATTTTGAAAAGACAAGGTCTCTGCAAAGACTTCGTTCCAATGCATCCCACATTCCAATCTTTCTGGATATTCAACAAGTTTCCTGGCGAAGAGATATGGGGAGAATACAGCCATCGCGATGATCCAAGTGGTGAGAATGAAGAACGGGCACAGTTTTGAACTGATCGGCGGAGAACGGAGAGGAAATACCACAGCTCCAAATCGATCCACTGCTATCAGAACCATGCTTAGAATAGACACAAGTCCGGAGGCATGTGTTAAGAAGAAAACCAGCTTACATAAGGCCTGGCCAAGAGGACCAACGATCAGCCAGGAGTCTGTATAGAGCCCTTGAATTGACATAGGGATCAAGAAAATCGGATACAGCAGATCCGACATGGCCATGCTTAAGATTAAAAAGTTGATGGGTTTTCTCATGGTTTTGGTCTTGTAAACAGTTATACCAATGGCGGTGTTCCCAGCCAGCGAAACAAGCAAGATCGAGCAGTAAAAAAACGTTTTTCCGATTTTTTCTGCTGTAGGATTGTTGAAACAGGTCGATGGCTGTGATCCATTCATCGTTGTATTTACGTTTTCCCACATTGCCGTTAATTCTTTTTCCGTTCTTATGCAATAAGTTGTCTTCTGGTTTGTTCACTTAATAACGGCACTCTATGTACGTGCTGCCGAAGGCAGGATAATGGCTTACCTTGATGCCGTCATACGCGCGAAAATAATTACCTTAACGAATGGCGTGGTACGGAGATCCAACGCCTATTTGTGACATTAACAAAAGTGCTGCTGTTATTATTAATTGGACGTGCATCAAATTTCCTTCTCAAATCATCAATAATTCATAGTCATAACCGTGGTGGTGTTTGGATGTCTGATCTTAGTCAGCATAGATTTTGAAGACATTTATTCTTCGTTTTCTCCTTAGTTTTAGTTTCGATCGAGGAGATAATTATATGACTCATATCAAACACTCCAGACCGTTAAATCGTCCCGTTGACCTATCGGAGACTTCTCCTCTTCGTAGTTTAACTAAAGAAATTTCATTAAAATGACATCGTACATTTGTGAGAATTTCTGGTCCGTGGAACTTAAATTTAAGCCTGCATTAAGACGATTATGGTTTGTTCAGCAGCTTAAGGAAACCTACAACATTTGCACCTTATGTCATAAATTGCATTTATTGTTTTAGTGTTATTATTTTTTTTTTTTTGAACTGACGTGAAATATGGTGATTAAAATATGGTAACTTAAAATTCAATTTTCTCTCCCGGGAAAAGCTAGAGAGCTAAAATTTCGATTAGTTGATTTGAATTGTATTCAAAATACTACCACGCTATGAGTTTTTTTTTATTACTCTATTTTTGCCATTTTTGTTCGAATGTTCAGCGGAAATCATCTTTTAAATTGTTTGTTGCACCTGTTTTCGACATTATTGTAATGCAAATCAGGCAAGTGAGGTTTGATAATGATTCAAAATACATTGAAAGCGCTGTAAAATTTCTTGATTTTTTTTGACGGTCAGTTCTCAGGTCTTTCATAGTTTTTTATCAGCAAGTGTGATCAACTTTCTGTGTCTAAAGTGAATGAATACTGCCGCTAAAGAATTTTCATAGTACTTCTCGCCTCATACAATTTGCTTTTTTAGACAGCTGGTCATAGTTAATGGAGGAGAATGGTTATGAAGCCCGCCAAACATCAAAGGAGCAAACAAACCGGACACTGAAATTTACTTTGAAAGGTCCACGACCGTGCACAATCTTTTGGTTTCCGTTCAAACACTATGCATTAATTACGTAACAAAACTTTTCCTCTTTCTCCGTCAGTAGTAAACCACTCAGTATTGTGTTTTGCACACGGTCAAGGCCAAAAAAGAAAACAAAAACATACAACAAAGAACTTTGTGAAGACGTGGTTGACCATCGCAGTTATGCACACAACTAAAGCAGTTGTGAAATTTAAGCCTGAAAACAATTCAGGCCTGAACGGGATTCTAACCCTTGACCTCTTCGATACCGGCGCAGTGCTCGGGTTCGAATCCCGTTCAGGCCTGATTTTCAGGCCTAAATTTCACAACTGCTTAAGTTGTGTGCATAACTGCGATGATCAATCATGTCATTACATCTTTCTTCGCAGTTCAAATATATGATCTTTCATATATTCACTTGTAAACAAAGAACTCTCTCGCATTTCATAACCATTCCCCTCTATTAACTATGAGCTGCTTGACGAGGCAAAGCGTGAGCAGCAAGATATTATTTGAAATGTATTTTATCTCAATAAGTAGTCGTTTAAGCTTCCATTTTCTTCTTTTGGTTACTCTATTTTGGCCATTTTTGCTCGAATGCTCAGCGAAAATCATCTTTAAACCTGTCTGTTGCATGTGTTTTTCGACATTATTTTAATGCAAACCAGGAAAGTGAGGCTTGATAATAAAAGCGCTGTAAAGTGGTCACTAGAGCTGCTATGTTCTACGACATGTTTTTAAAAATCTTCAACTCTCTTACTTAACATTTGGAAAATTCAGTTTTACGGCAATTTTCCCCAAAACATCCCCATTTAGGTTTAAATCATATATTACTTGAAATTTTGCACTTTGACCGTAATAACGCTTCCCAAATCAAAATAAACCAGAAATATTCTTACTCAACCAATGAATGTGATAGGTATCAGAGTAGATGTGTTGTACTTAGTTTTGTGTCTGCAAAAATTTAATTGTATTAATCTTTTATAGTCCTGAAGCCCAAATAGTCGAGAAAAACTTGGTTCCGTGGTCTATGATAATTGTTAATTTATCAGCTACTGAACTGCGGTAAAACTGCGTGCTCTAAATATGCTTCGATTGAACTAGACAGCGGCGTTTGGCTGGTTTGCACAAGTACACCATGCCGATTGTGATCGTTTCTTCTAAATGGGATTCTTTTAGTTCAAGGATTTTTCCCGAAAAATAATTCTTTGAACTATTTCACGAAAACAGGGAAAAAGAATAATCAGTGCATTTGTTGCTGCTTTTGAAATACCTGCGAAAACAAGAGCATCTTGTGCACTTTTGCACCAAAAACAAATTCGAGAAAATCTCTTCATATTTATCTTTTCACCAAGATAAAAGACTTAAATCTTCTTGAGAGAAAAAAGTTTTGAGAAAAAGTTTAAAGGCATAAAAATTTTACAAAAATTAAGTTTTAAAGTACAAAAATGAATTCACTAAAGTTTGTTACAATGTAATTTTAACCGGTCGCGTGCGTGTCGCGCGTTGCGTATTTCGTGTCGCGTGTTGGGGACAGCGAGGTTCAGTTTCGCGTGGGCACGTGAGCCTAGTTTCCGAATTTAGATCAAAGTATGATGCATATAATCCAAAATAAAACTATTCAATTTGAATGCAGTTGGTACTCACGATTGTAGAAGTGCATTTCACTAGGTCAATCTAATTTACAGGTGGAACGCTTAATAATTCAGACATTGTTGTTTTCATTTCCATTGCCTTGTTTACCCTGCTCTTAATTACTGTTAAAAGTGGTTACACGGAGCCCTAAGAGAGATCCACACCTAACCTCTCCTTAAAACAATGTACATAACCAACACACTGTCTACAGATGAATAATGAGAACAGTTAAATAAGTAATCAAAGTTTGCGATCTAACCGACTACTCGAAGAGAGAAAGTAATGAAAAAGGGATGTTTCTACTTTTGGGGTATTCACTTTCGTAATATAAAATTACTTACAAATCTGCTAATAATTCAATCATTCCCTAGTCATGTTGATCTAAAATGTGGTGTAATGAGTAATGACCATAAGATAGCGTGTCACGGCCATTGCCCGAAATGCATCGCTTGTTACGGAAGGGACTTAAGCCGATCTTGCTGAACTTGATGGGGAAGATATTTTTCTGAAATGATCGACGTTGCTCCACTAATGCCATCTCTTGTTCTTGAGGAAATAAACATAGTTCATAGTGTTCGTGCTTGAAGTTTTGTTCGGTGATGTGTTTTTTCTCTACCGTTTTGTTGTTCTCGCTGTAGAGTAGTGAGTACATCTTGGGTCACAGGCCAACAAATTCTTCAACAATTATACCACGCGTCTCGTCTTTGCACTTCCTGATGACTTTACAGCCATTTGTTGTTTTCAGTGCTGTAGAGGAAATAGTCTTTAAGGTTTTCAGAGAAGTCAAACAAATGTGCCCCGCTTGCCATGTTTGCATAGATGTCTTCAGTTTTTACCTCTAAACATAGCGAGTTGGTATTACTGAACAGCAGTTTTGTTAGAGATCCATACTTTGCCTTGTCGTGGTTGTAGTAGAGATCAAAAATCAGTACTTTAGACAGTTCGAAGATTGCAAAAACCGCGTATATGTAGATAGGTCAATTCAAATACAGAGTTGTTTTCTTTGGATTGACACCGATGATTTCAGCTGTGAAAATTCTGAAATGATTGAACGAAGGCGCTTTGTCCGGTTGTGCAATCCTTTGACTTTTGTCACAAGTTCAATGTTTATTCTGTTGCGTCGATTTTATATTGTTTTCCAAAAGACTCCGATGTTGAGCAGTGTAAAGAAGTCTGTCTTAAAGTCATTAGCTGCCTGTTTACGTTTTCCTGTGTTGAAGTCAATATATTCTTTCAGCTAAGGAGATTGCCCGTAGGGGTACTCCTAGAAAAATCGGGTGGGGGTGTGCGGCCCGCTTCTTAAAACCCTTACCTTATTTATGACCAAAAGCTGCGTTATTCCCTACCTGACCAAAAATCGAAACCCTATTTATGACCTAACCCTTAAATCAAAGCCTTGTTTCAGACCTGCGTTATAATAAGTTCCCTAGTTCAGACCAATGTGAAATTACCGTAAACATAATTTTGTTGATTTTCTTTTCGATAATGACGAAAAAGTG